AATCAATGGAACATTCAGAATATACATCATACATTCATACTCCCCACCATAATCACACTACAAAAAGTCACATTAATAGCAAATTAGGATACATCATACCATTCGGAACCATATCGTTTGGATTTTGACTACCAATATCCTAAGCTTGTTCAAATGATTGATGTTCAAAATCCAAACGATATGGTTCCGAACGATAGTGGGCGAGACACCAACTCAACTGAACACGAGCAACTTGCTGGTTAGGAGCAATTAGTTGGTCACGACCAGCTGGTTCCAAAAAGATGCGTCTCCGCGCAATGAGATTACCATGTACCAAAAGATCATGAACAGTAGACAAAATGTATGTTATCTTCTTGGATACCTTGTTAGAAATGAAGAGTTAAATATCATGTACAAGAGCAAACACCTAAAATGAGGTCCCAAACTTTATTAGGCTTATCAAGCATAGGTGGTAGTAGTGTTGACCATTGTCTCTGCTGAAAGGATGGCCATTTTGGAAATTAGATTTAGGGAACATGAACAAACTGGTAGTTGGCGGATTCTTCAGAGTAAATTTGTGGTTCAAGACGGGCAGTGTCACATTAGTCAAAAGAAATAGAACCATGGACTCAGAGAGTTGGCCGGTCTCACTATAGTTCCAAATGTATTCTGCAAAAATAACATAAAGGTATGAGAATGAAATTCCGAATGTATTATGCAGAAATGACAAAAAGACATGAAAATTTAAACGAAAATAATGGCAAAGAAGCGCGTACAAAATATGTTCTGACATAGGATATGCTCATAAGCCTCAGGTTCGCCTTCCACTGGGTGATGATAGATGAGAAAATCTCTAACGTATCACAATCAGGAGGAGCATAATACTCCTACTAGTACTGCCAATCTCTAAGCATGATCTAGGAGGATCTAATACGAACAAAAGAAATGGGTAAGCAAATCTATGAAAGCACAACCAACATATCACAATCAGATCTATATTACTACCTACAAGGAAGTTCATAACGGGATTCAAAACCTCCCTTCAGAAGCAGCGTCAATCCCGAAATCATGATTTTCAAATGGCCGTTGGTTAGGTGTAAGAACTCAGCTTTTTTAGAGGTCTGGTAAAATGCTATAGATGGTGGCGACTGAAGAACACCGGTCGGCTGGAATCCGGTTACTCCGAATTCGCCAGAAAAATCGGGCAGATCATCATAATTGATCAACGCGTCAACATCACCGCCTTCAACATCATCGACCGTGAAATGAGAATCCCTAAAACAGTGTAAAACAATATTTATATCAGTTGTTAGAGGAAACCTAATTTTAAACGGGCATTTTAAGGTCCAGAGTGCCCAAAATAAATTAATCTATATAAAACGAACTTTTTAAAGCCTAAAGTATCCAATATAATTTTAATCTATATAATCCACATTTGTGGTAAAAATCAAGAACTTAGAAATCGTTTTCAGAATCGCCTTTCACAGAGACGCAATCGCTTTCTTTTCTGC